TTCAGGCTCAAGATCGGATATATATTTACTTTCTTCTCAAGGGGAATAAGATTCGAATTACCTTATTGATCGAATATCTCAAGGCAAGAATATTGTTTGAGATTCGAATCACTCTACAAGCAAGATCGATCATGTCTAGCTTGAATGATTTTTGTTGATCAAATATCTGACGCAAGAACACTTGTTTGAGATTTGAATTACTCCATATGCAAGATGGATCATGTCGAGTTTGAATGATTCTACATGCAACATAAACTACATAGAATTGCAAAAAACTTAGCCCTTGGCTAAAGGGAAGCACAAATGCTCATTTTACTATATTTTTCAAGTTTACTTAAAAATACAACATACCTGACTTTATACAGCCTCAAAATGAAACTATTATAACATTCATACTTAATGCCATAATTAACCATGATGTAATTGTAACATAAAGTAAATAAAAAGTCTTAAAATACATTAATGAAATACAATAACTCTAAATTACTCTAAATCGTAATCCATCCAAAATTTATAACATCAAACTTTATTCTTCTTCAATGTGACATGAATTGAAATATCTTTTGATAATTTCAACAATATTTTCTTCACATCTTCATTGAAGTATATTGTACGATTGATGTCTCTTGGTTCATATCATTCTCCACTTCTTCAAGAGGATTCGTCCTCGAATCTATTTGTGAAACTTGGCTGCAAAAAATAAGTTATGGAAATACGAAGGATCTCACAACACTCTCTCACGAGTATACACTCAAGGAATTTTAGGCCACTCTTTTTACACTCATTTACACAAATAAAGCTCTCATTCTCACCTCTCAAAATTTTAAATAGAGCAAAAATTGAATTTTGAACTCTAGGTCGATTAAAAACTAAAAAGATAAAAATAAATAAAAATCAAATTTTGAAGAAACGCAAAGAAAACATATATCCGATCTTAAGCCTGAAGCTCTGATACCAAATGATAAGATAAGGAATCACTACAAGGGGACTAAGATTCAGATTACCTTGTTGATCGAATATCTCAAGGCAAGAACATTGTTTAAGATTCGAATTACTCCACAAGCAAGATCGATCATGTCTAGCTTGAATGATTCTTGTTGATCAAATATCTCATGCAAGAACACTTGTTTGAGATTCGAATCACTTCACAAGCAAGATTGATCATGTCGACCTTGAATGATTCTACATGCAACCTAAACTACATAGAATTGCAAAAAACTTAGCTCTTGGCTAAAGAAAAACACAAATGCTCCTTTTACTATATTTTCAAGTCTACTTAAAAATACAATATACATGACTTTATATAGCCTCAAAATGAAACTATTTAAAGGCATTCCAAGAGTTGTAACATTCATACTTAATGGTCATAATTAACCATTAGGTAATTGTAACCTAAAGTAAATAAAAAATCTTAAAATACATTAATGAAATACAATAACTCTAAATTGTTATCCAACCAAAATTTATAACATCAAACTTCATTCTTCTTCAATATGGCATAAATTGAAATATCTTTTGATAATTTTAACAATATTTTCTTCATATCTTTATTGAAGTATATTATTTAATTGATGTCTCTTTGGTTCGTTCATATCACCTATAGCATTTTTTATTCAAAATTTAGGTCATATTATTGTTTCCTATTGAAATGTTAAGATACCAAATAGGGAAAGTGGCTTTTTATCCAGGTGGTAAGTGAGTCAAATTGGATGAAAACAACAAGAATCTAAACAAGAAAACAACAAGAATATATATATTTTCTTTTTTCTGCAAATGTAAAAATATTAAATAAAATATTATTAGGCCAAAATAATAATCCATTTAATTACTTAGAATAAAATTGTCATTTTTTTTTTCAATTTTTTTTGTTTATAATAGTTGTACAAGGTGTCTTGCCTTTACCTAAAATAGTAGTAGCACACGGCTTGATTATTTTACAAATACAAAGTGACCTCACTGTTGGAGTCGGAAAATGCAAGCACATGCAACTCATGCTCTAAGGCCCTATCGTTAGAACCATCATAGGGGTGGTCTCTAGTCCGAACTAAATTGGATGTGTAGTATTTTCCTACACATGACTCACACGTGCGAGTGTGGATCCCTAGGCAATTTGCATCCCCTTAGACCCATCATATTCGAGCTAGTTGTCTGTAGCGACATCCGAAGGTCAGTAGACCCCCGAGTGTCATGCAAGACATGATGATCATTATCATCGTAGTGTACGCGTCCATGCTCATCATCATAAAAGGGGAAGTAGTCCGATGTATATTTACACTATGAATGCATGAGATCCCTATAGTTTCTCATCTTTAAATCATCTGTTGACACAACCCTAAGTTTTGTTTACAATTACTCTAAGTAATGTATGTACATTGGTCTTCATACGTTCATCATAATTATCATTGACTAGGGCTGTGTCCTAGAAAAATCATCATCATAATGTAGTATGACATTTAAAACATGCATTTCCTCTTAGTATAGAAAATAATGTCATATTATGAAATTTCATAATCTTTCATCGTCATGTTGTCATGCATCATCATCATCATCATCATCATACAACGTCATTATATAACCACATCGTAAACGTCATATAACATCATCATATAACTCATTCATGTCACCATACTTCATACATCGTACATCATCATCATATAATATAATCAGAGTATCATAAGTATAAAACATAACTGACACGTGCAGGGGCCACTAGGCAGGTGTTGCCATACATCAGACAAGTCGTCCAACCTATTCTATAGTAAGGTCACTGACTTGGTTGGCTTTAGCCAATGTTCTCCCTCAAATTCAAGTATGATTGTCTTCTGTTTCTCAACTGTAATGCCCCTAATTTTCTTTAACCTAATTAGTGACGTCACCCATGCATACATAACTCATTAAGCAGAAGCTCATCATAAATAACCTTGGAAACAAAACAAAGTCTTTCATAAACCTTCATAAATCCAAAAAAACTTATCTCCAAATATAAACTTTCACTAACTGAATTTAAAAAAAGAATCTAAACAAAGTAACACACTGAATGCTATAACTTAAAACAGTCCAATAAAAGTAAATTCCTAAAAATATCTCATCTCCAACTTCCATGGTGGCCTCACCTCCGCCGTCAACCGTACATTGGTGCCTTGCCTTTACCTGAAAAATGTAGGTAGCACGTGGCTTGAGTATTTATGAAATACTCAGTAAGTCACCCCACTGTTGGGGTTAGGAATGCAAACACATGCAACATATGAGCGGGACCTAACTTTTCATAAACTTTTCATAGCCTTGGGCGCTTTTCTATTCCGGGTAGGGTTGGATGTGTGGTACTCCTTCACACATGGCCCATGTACGTGTACATGAACCCACCAAGCGGGCTCGTAAACATACCCCCTGGGCCTGACTTGGTCAAGCAAAACGTGTTACACGTAGCCAGACACCACAGAACAGAAAAGACCCGCATGATATCATGGTGAACATCAATATCGTATTTCATTCTTTCGTATCATAAAGGGGAAGAATCCCGATGCACATGACATACATATATGCATGAAGTCCCTTAACATATCTAACATGGCATTACATAAGCAGTGCTAACATCGCATTTACGTTTCTTACATCACATGGCATCTCACATGACTTACATTACATGACATATTAAATAAACATTCCAGTTGCATAAACATCTCATGACATGACTCAATAATTCTACGTGTATCTATGGTATCAATCAACATATTCATGGCATATAATACTAACATCTCATTCATGACATAACATAAACAGTCAACAGTCAACACAAGTTCATACATCACATAATCATATCACATAAAATATGGTGCATGCAGCGGCCACAGGGCACGCACCATCATACAACACGTAGAAAGCTAACTCCAACAGTAAGGTCACTTACCTCAATGGTCTTGGTTGAAGTCACTCACAACGAGCTAATCGCAGCGGTTAAATATGTCCTATGATAACCACATAAAAACTTAGAACCTTCAATAACATACCCTAGCTAAACCTCATGCTATTTATCAAAATAAACCCCCGACCTAATCTGTCTTTAATGTTTAGGAATCATACTGACCTCGGATGATAAAACTAAGGGCAGAAACGGCTTCGAAAGGGCCAAAAACCTTGGAATCGATATATTATAGTGATACCTTGCTGCTAAGCCTAGCTGCCGAGCCGGCCAACTAAGCCGCCAAGTCGAGCTGCGGAAATTGACGGAACCGAGCCGATTTCGTATACGTGCGATCCGAGCCGCACTATGTATGCGTGCGAAGCTGCCGGAGCTGTTGGGTGTGCGTCTGCGGCTCGACCCGATTCCCAAGACCTCACCTTCCTTACCTGACAAGCGACGAAACTCTAGTTTCCGCCTCCCCAATTCCGACGACGCGCCGACAATCCCACAACGTCCTCAACACCGATTTCCGACGGTCAACCTTCTTTGACACAATGATCCCAACATCAATGCCTTGCTTTTACTCGATTCTTCCTCCGAATAGCAACCCCAATGTTTCGGAGGAAAGTTTAGAGAGAAAATCGTTTTCAATGGGTAAAAGGTTGAGCATAGAAATATAAAAATAATATGAAGACATTTGCATTCTAGGTTTTGTTAGGATAAGGAAACTCAAGAGAAATAGGAAGGTTTCTATTAGGTAATAAAAGTCTGGCAGGAAATCCTCTATTTTCAGGGGATTACATTTAATTATTTATTCTATTTTGATTTTATTTTATTTTATTCCAGAAACCTGAACATCACAATTTCTAATAACTCCCATTTTAAAATTGCACCTTTACGGACCAGAATAAATGCATAACATAATATTTGTGAAATAAAAATAAAATCTTAACCAAATAAGCCACAAATGGAAAATCTGAATCGTTACATTATCCCCTCCTAAAAAGGACTTTCGTCGTCGAAAGTCTATGTAGTCAGAAAAACTCTAGATACTTTTCTCTTATCTCATCCCCTTGTTCTCATTACGTAACTTCCCCTACTATTCCCCAGAATCCTTTGTGCCACCTCCCGAGCAATCCTTGGCCATGTGGTCCTCCTTTCCACACCGAAAACAGGCTCTAATATGACCTAAACATTGACCCCAGTGATTTTTCCCACACTTATTACACTTAGGCTTGTCATCTAATTTGTTTTCATATTCGTGACGATGCTTTTGTCCCACTAACAATGAAGGGGTTTCATGCGAACTATCAAGTCCTTCCATAGACTTAGCTGCTCTCAGGGCGGCAGCATAAGTGGCAGGTGCAATTGCCTCAACAGTTTTACGAATCTTCGTGTCTAACCCCAGCACAAACCGTCTTGCTGTCCTGTAGTCCGTGTTCACCAACTCTGGGGCAAATCGCTTTAGTTTAAAAAATTCTCTGGTGTAAGTAGTAACACTACGCCCCCTCTAACTCAACTGAGTGAACTCTTGTTGTTTTCGCAGCTAAACATCCTCTGTATAATACTCTTCAGTAAAGGCACTCTTGAATTCCACCCATGAGACTGCACCTCCCTCAGGACTAATAATGTCACGGGTGGCCTGCCACCACAATTCCGCATCCTCACGCAACATAAATGTAGCACACTCCACCCTATGGGCCTCAGGGCAGTTGGTCAACCCAAATACAGTCTCAATGGATCTCAACCACATTTGTGCCACAGTTGGATGGTCAGATGTCCCCTTAAATGTTCGAGGGTCACCCCTCTTGAAATCTCGTAGGTACTTAGCTTCCATGGTTGATGTAGAAGCATTTACTTGCTGGTTGGCAGTTATCACGGCTTGCAATGCATCTACTAGGTAGTTGTAGGGTTTGGTGCGACTTGAGGTGCCGCTGGTGGCGAAAGAGGTTGATCTACAGAACCCTCACATCCCAAACTACGTCCCCTTCCACCTCTCCTTCTACCCCTAAGCGAGGGTCATCCCCTACGACCTCCTCCTCGAGTTCTAGGTGGCATCTAAACAGTGCACGTAACTACTACGACACACACTTATCTAATACATTTTATTATAACATTCGTAGTCATGCAAGTCAGGCATACATACAACTATAGCATTATCATAACCAGCTGGCAGTATACGACATATCATAAATCATGCTAACATATAACATGTAACGACCCTAAATTTCCACATACTCAGAGTCGCTACTAACGTCTCATGATCATCTATAATGCGGAAATATAACTCTTACATGAACATAATTGATAATGAAAATTTTCAAGAAAACGTTTAAAACAACTTCTCCTCTGAAAAACACTGCCATGGTCTTACGTGTTTAAATATGAAATACTGAAATTTAGAGAAACAAAAACAAATACAAAATAATTTAAAACAATGAAATGCAAAACAACCTATTCTAACTTAAGACTAGAAATTTAAATATGAGTCTACCCTATGCACGTGCCATAGTCTCTGCTCGCGATGCCGCCGTCCTCCGTACAAGTGCGCCTCGCCTTTACCTGAAACATGATGTGGCACACGGCCTGAGTATTTCAAAGAATACTCCGTAAGTGACCCCACTATAGGGGGCCATGCAAATGCAAACACATGCAATCATGATTTAGGGACCTATCTCTAATCATCTTAGGGGTGGCCTCCAGTCTCGGACAAATTGGATGTGTAGTACTTCCCTACACACGACTCACACGTGCGAGTGTGAATCCCCAGGGCGCTCGCACACCCCCTAGACCCTCTGGTCAAGCTAATCTGTAGCGACGTCCAGAGGTCAGCGGAACCCCATAGTGTCATGCACCTCATGAACACCCTCATCTGTGTGCTTTCGCACCTGTGCACATACGCGCTCATCATACTGTGCGCGTCCGCACTCATCATCTCTAGGGGAAGTAGCCCTATGCTTATGAACATACAATATGCATGAGGTCCCTCTAAATCCATCATCATGTCTCTTCTGACACAACCCTCTAGTCTCATCTCTTTGTTACTCTAGGTAACACATACTCGTGGATATTTATATTAATATCATTTTCACGCTCTTAGGGTTGTGTCCTATGTCGATCTAACGACATGATGCAATATGGCACTCATCATCATATAGCATGCTCAATATGGAAAACATCATCATATTAAGGTAAACGTCACGCAATCATCATACTCATCATATTGCCACAAAGTGCATCAAACATATCAAGTACGACATTCATCAAAATATATAAATACTGAGCACATCATCAGGTATCATAACCCACACATCATCGTAAGTCATACATCATCATAACTCATATACCGCATCATACGACATAGTTCATACAACATCGTAACTCATACAATTTTTAGCCTATCCTATAGTAAGGCCACTTACCTGGTTGGCCTTAGCCTAAGTACTCCCTAATTTAATTAACGTAAGCTCCCGTTCCTCGAGAGTTGCTCTAAAGGTTGCTGGAGTTCGCTTCATATCCCACCGTTCGTCACCTTTTGTTAGTATTTCACATTTTAATTAATAATCCAACTAACAATGTGAAATACGGCTCTAAAATGGTCTCAGTAAAAATCGAATTCCAAGTTTTCATTGTTTCTAAATTTTCTAAAACTCAAATTGAAAATATGTCAATATTATTTCATGCTCTTTTGAATCATCAATCCAATTATGGTTTGTTATAATATTATATTATCTAGATACAAACAATAATAATTTTTCACATCTTCCATTTTCTTTCTTGTACCTCTTTTGTTCTCTTCTCTCTGTATTTTTTTTTTTCTTCCTACAAATGATTATGCAATTATAAAACAATTTCAATCCATTCTGTTCTCCTCCCTTTCCTAATATGACTATCCAATTAACAGAAAGTCATTTTCAATCTATTCTTTTTTCTTTCTCTTTCCCAAATGACTATCAAATTCATTTACAATCCATTCCAATTTCCTTCATAAAACTGACTATGCATCAATCAATTATGATTTTCTTCTCTTTCCTAAGAATGATGATTCATGCAATTGACAAAACCATTTTCAATCAATTTTGATTTCCGAGAAGAGATCCAAAAATCTAAATAATTGAAAAAAGAGAGATCTAAAACAATTTTTCTATCTCCTGCAAAAATAAAAGAAAGATCTAACTTACCCATAAATTTTCTATCTCTTCCCTTCCTATTAGATCTTCTTGGAGTGAAGCCATTCCTTCCCAGTAGCCTTTTTTTTTTTT